TCTCTCTCTCTCTCTCTCTCTCTCTCTCTCTCTCTCTCTCTCTCTCTCTCTCTCTCTCTCTCAGTCCCTTCTCTAGCCATTATTAATGCTAGCAGCGATATTGCTTTTTAACATCTGGAACCGGCCTGGGATTGGCCGGTTACACTGCGCATTCGCGAGAACATTACATCCCTTATCCCTTTATATCGCGTGCCATATCAGCCATACGACCCCCTCGGCGTCTATCCGCTATCGCGGCTGCACGGTCCGTCGTAGCACGTAGTCGACGATCTCGTCGTCCGTGTAATTACAACGTAAGTACGCTCCGCCACGTTATGAGCACATTCCGCTACATCCCGAAGTCTCCTTGAGGTACTCCAGGATCGCTTTTTTTTATCGATCGTCCGCCGCGGAAGTGCGTGTATGTGTGCGCGTGATGGTCGCCGTGACATATTGTGTTGGGACACCATATGACAATTTTTATATTATCGATTTTTATTTATTTTTACTTAATGAAAAGGACTCCGCCCTAATTATATAAAAAATGGCATTTCGGTAAAATCGGCGAATTTTTTAATATGTTGTATCTCTATACCGAACAAAAAATGTAATGGGCTCGAAGTTAAATAATGGACAGTTTTTTACCTAAAGCCAGTCAAATACAAAAAATTCAGGTTCTGCGAGTATTATATTCCTATTCTCCTAATAAAATAGAAGAGATAGAGGGGACTGGTCCCATGTGTATGTGTGTGTGTGTGTGTTTGTTGTGTGAAAACGTGTGCATGCGTGACGTCCATGTCGTTCTGGGACTTCTGGGTTATCTGAGTCGTCCTGGGTTATGCCAAGAGAGTAGTAGTTAAGAAACTCCGTTATTTAACTTTTAGCCCATTACATTTTTTGTTCAGTAGATCATATAAGCTACAAAACATATTAAAAAATTAATTTTACCGAGACCCCACTTCCTACATAATTAGTGCGGGGTCCTTAGAAGCGTGTCTTGAGACCCCGTTAACATTTGCATTGCCTTCGTTTAATAATTTAATTTAAAAAGCGTAACTGGACGATTGTCCTTTTCTCCCAAACGGGTCAGTGACTTTTGTCGGTAAGTCGAAATCTCGTTTCAGAACCCTTCGTCATGCCATCGGTTCGCAGGATGATCCTGGGTCACGTTATGTCCGACTTGTGCCACAAGATGTACCGCCGGAAGAAGCTGCAGGGCGACTTGCTCGAGACACCAATGAAAAGGTGTCTCTCCACCTTCGACATCACGTTGCTCGGTGAATATACCTTTGCGACTCGAATAAATCAACTTTGTGTGTGACGGAATTATAAAAAAATATATATATTTTATATATAATGCGTCTTGTGTGTAACTGGCTTCGTGCGCCGCGTGCGAGCGATATGCAACTTGCCATTACATCACGCGCGATTATCGCGGTGTGATGATAAGCGCGGCATAATGGTCCGGAATAATAGCCTTGAGTGAAAGATATGTGGCGTTAGACAACAATAATGCACGGACTATTAATGTAAATAATAATAATGCTGTGTGTATATAGGAGGAATTACGTTTCGAGATTACATGTAACTTACTGAACACTTGATAATATTAATTACCACAGTCCTGTACCTATAATTATATATTATACATATGCATAACGAGTCGGTCTTCCAGGCGTGGGTCATATGGTCGGCGCTGGAATTTACGTGCTAACGGGTACGGTCGCACACGACATAGCTGGACCTGGGGTGATGTTCAGCTTCCTCGTGGCTGGTTTCGCTTCCATTTTGGCAGCCCTTTGTTACGCCGAACTGGCCGCTCGAGTACCGAAAGCGGGCAGCGCGTACATCTACACTTACGTCGCCATCGGCGAGTTTTGGGCCTTTATCGTAGGATGGAACCTTATCTTGGAGCACATGATCGGTACGAACCTATCTTTTCGCGGAGAACCTGAAGGATTTACCGACAAGAAGTAAAAAATGAACAAGAAAATCGAATTAGATTGAGTCAAATATTAAATTAGCGCTAAAATTAAATCAGATTGGCAATTAATGACTTTTTATTGTGTTAATTAGGCGCGGCGTTCGTGGCGAAAGCTTGGAGCGGATACGTGCATTCGTTGAGAGGCGGTGCGATTAGCAATTATACTCGCGACGTGATGGGTGAGCGGACCATAGGAGAGCAGGGCTCCAACCCGGACGTCCTAGCTGGCGGATTATGTCTGGTTTACGCGATGCTCTTGGGAGTAGGGGTGAAGACTTCGGCAACGGTCAACTCGTTGCTGACCATCATCAATCTCGCGGTGATGGGTCTGTTCGTCGTTCTGGGCATTTATTACGCGGACATTACAAACTGGAGCAGCCAGAACGGTGGTTTTCTACCATATGGTTTCGGCGGCATAATCACGGGTGAGTTATCTCTAGTAGACTGATTAAACAAATGCGATAGGAAATATAGGGGGATTCGTGTGACCTCATCAATCCGCGATTTCGAGGATTATGGAGGATACACGAGATAGACGGTTAATCGTTCGCTAATTGTACGAACGTAAAATAGAGATTTATATACAAGGAAAATGGTTTTTGTATCTTCTGTGATATTCGCCGGTTGAAACGAAGACATTAAATCTTGATGCGTTATTCAGGTGCAGCAACGTGTTTCTACGCCTACGTCGGCTTCGACACGATCGCGACTGCCGGAGAGGAGGCTCGCGATCCAAGTCGGAGTATCCCATTGGCGACGATGCTCTCGATAGCGATAGTAATTGTTGTATATATGCTGGTCAGCAGCGCCCTGACACTGGTCGTGCCGTATTGGGAGATTAATGTTACCGCTCTGCCGGAAGCCTTTTCGTCCAGGGGTATCCCGTGGGCTAAATATGTGATAAGGCGAGCAATTTTATTTTTCTATAACTCTACTCGATAAATTTATAACATAGACGTTCTTTTCACAAAATTTCTTTATGACAAAAACTAGTAAAAATAAAAATACTATAGGCACCATTCTTTCTTTCATCATTTTTATTCTATATTTCTATAGCGAGATCTCACAACCAAGTCCCGGTGTATTCAAATTAGAAATATTCTAATATTATGATGTAATATATTAAAAAGATATAGAAGATAGTATATTAAGTATAATAAAGGATGATTTAATTAATTTTTTAAGATGCGCTAATGGAAAGTGGCTTTTGCAGCGTGGGTGCCCTTTGCGGAATGACGACGACTCTTTTCGGATCCCTGTTCTCCCTCCCAAGGACGATATACTCCATGGCGAACGACGGTCTGTTATTCGGCTTCCTCGGTCGTATCAGCGAGCGCACGCAAGTACCGGTGTGCAATCTCATCATAAGTGGAGTGCTCAGTGCTTTAATCGCTCTGATGTTCGATCTCAAACATCTGGTGGAGTTTATGTCGATCGGGACTCTGCTCGCGTACACCATCGTGGCAATTAGCATTATCCTGCTGAGGTATCTGCCCGAGCACGAGCAATCGTCCGATCCGCCCGAGCACCAGTCCAGCGTTGATACGCCCACCAGTGGCTGTTCCTCGCCACCTACGGAGGAAGCGGACTCCAGCAGCATCGCGTCTAAGTCCGAAGTGAGTGTGCCGCCAGGGCTTTTGATTAAATTTAGGATGCTTTAATTGCGGCTCACGGTACAACTTCAAAATATTTTATTTTTGTAAAAAAATGTAATAAATTTTGATTCGTAAAATTTATAAGTGCGCCGCTCTAATATAATAAAATTGCGCCAGGCAATTCTTAGATCTTTTATAACAAATTATTAATAACTTATTCATAATTATAGCTACTATGCGAAGGATCTAGCAGATTCAAGCCGCGATACGCCTGGATGGAGGACTGGCTATGGCTGCCGAATTACGGTACTCGTCACATGAGACCTCTCATATGCGCTTGTTTGATTATTTACACGACAAGCTGCGGCTTCCTCAGTACTTTTATGATAATAGCGTTCGAAACGTCAGTTTCGTTCACGAAGAGCGATTACCTCTTTGCAGCGAGTTATCTTCCGCTACCCATCGCGAGTGAGTTTATCTCAATTTTTTTCCGGTTTTGCACACGACAGAAGAAATGTTGTACTCAACCCTATTTGTTTGTTATTCGCAGGTCTCTTCGTAATTGCCGCTCACAAACAAAATTCACCCACCGGGAAATTCCAAATACCGCTGGTGCCCTTGATACCAGCGTTAAGCATTCTCTTTAACGTCGGTCTGATAATGCACCTGTCTGCAATGACGTGGATACGGTTTTTCGTATGGATGACAATCGGTACGTTGATTATAATCATGTATCGTTCATATAAATAAGATATGAATTTAAAATGCAAAACTAGATATGCTCCATATAAATTTCAATGCATCTCAATTTCTCTATTTTCTCCTCTTTCTCCAGGGGTGATGATCTACTTTCTATATGGCATCCATTATAGTAAAGAAGCCGTTACTACGCTAAACTCATATTCCGGTTTGATGGCCACCTCAGAAGCTGAGAAAGGCACAAAGTGGGGATCTACGTTACGAGTTAGTCCGAGGAGTGACAAGACACCTATTCTGAGCGACCAAGAACTTGTTGACTAGAAATAATATACATTTTTATCAATTGTTTTCCCTATCCAGCTCGCCGGTGGAGCCGCGGAAATGGCTTGAATTTTAAAAGTAAAATAACGTTTAAGCTGTCAACAACGAAATATTCGTACGTAAGACTGTATGCAATGCGAATTATAACGCAGACTATTGCAACGGAATATAGAGCAACATATTTAATCTTTAACTTTTATTAGTTTTAATGTGGTTAACGCACAATTAATACGCTCGGCTACTTAAATGACACAATGAGTTTTATGTGTAAAATTTATTTTTCGATTATATTCGCCACACTTGCTATTTTGGCGGCTCCACTTTACATGTTGCTTGAAATTCAAAGTTTATGGAATATATTTTGTAAATATTGACTTTAGAAGACCTTTTTAACTTATGCATTTTGAACTCCTCGAGAAAGTTTTTGTCTGGTACAAAAAATCTATTTTCGTACTTAGCTTTATCTTGTTCGACAGCGATTCCATATGAATTTTAAGCTCGTACTTTTACTTCTTAGCACGATCAACGAAACATTATCGTTCTTTCCTGTCTAAATGGCTATTATTATGGCTATTACACAATCGCAAGATTAAGCGATATGTGTTTTACGAAACATTGTGTTTCGTGTTGCAACGAATTCGGAGAGAAAAAAATGTAACTTATTTTATTGTTAGTTTATCTATTATAAGTTTTATTACGCACAAATTCGATCATCAACGGGAAATCATTTTTTATTTCGTATATTTTAACACAACTCTCGATTAAGTAGCAGAATACGATAGCAAGAAAACATATTTTCTTTCTGTTGTTATGACACGAATGTGACTAATCTCTGTCGTTATCAATTATATTTAAATTTAATAAATAACAATAATTTTGTATCTTGATTTGGCATAAATTTACGTTCGTGCAATCGAATCTAGAATTGTTTCTTGGGAACGGATAGATCTAGTGATTTATAAATCATTTATGAATCTCACAATTGACTCATTTTTATCACAATAGTGTGAGTTAAGAACAATTTATATATATATGTTAAAAATGGGTATTATTCGTTCTCTTGATTCAGTCGATTTATGAAATAGTTAAACCGCAAAGAATAATTAGAGCGTAACACGCTTCACGAGAAAGATTTATTCTGATACCAAAAAAAAAATCTATTTACGTGATAATGCATCATCGTTTACAATCTGTAATTTATGTGTGTATTGTATACACGCGTATTGTGCATGACAAGTATAATTACATGGTATTATGTGAAAAGTATCCGTAATAACAATATAACGTAATATCGATGTATTAACGATAGAGATCGTTAAGATGATCTACAAGACACAAAGAGGTATATTTAAACGACATATAGTTTAGTATGCAAGTTGAATTTATTTATTAAGAGTCGTTTATATCGTTTTAATGTAAAAATAAATGGTAAATATAGATTAGCAATGCAATTCAAAAGCAACGGACGATATATATTCCACAACTGATGATTATTATTGTAATTAAGATGCGTCTTAAGGATGGGAGTGATCTCGAATAGGAACATCGACAAACGATTAAAAGTCCAATTATTTATTTACAAAAATATTTCTTAGCAAGTAATTCTCCGCACCTATCACCACTGAATTATTTAAAATTGATACAAATTCCTGCATGTTGATGTAAAGTAATCGTGCGATCGAAAGTTTAAATTCCTTACAGTGATACAAACGTTCGTACAATTATTGATTCTCGTTATAGCAGTGCAATATGTCTTCATGCAACATAACAACCGTTTATAATATTTGCGCGAGTGACGTCTGTCCACAGGGATATTTAAAGATGTAACTGTATTTGGTTACTCGTATTCATACCTGATAATTCATTTCCATAGCTGTGACTGCGTTTATTTCTCTATATTGCCGTCAGGAAGGTACAAGAGAATTCAAATAAAAGTTATATATCAGCCCCAACTTCTTATATGAAAAACTTTTATTAACATCCTGCGTTAAATATTCGTCATGCGTTCTTTATGCGTACGTAAAATACTTTTAGATGTATTTACAATAGAAACTGCGAACATGCGTCGCACACACGTCTTCGTCTGTTTTACAAAACTTCTATGAAATATCTGTAAGTATATTCCGTGCAAAATATTAATATTTGAAACAATACGCTGTTCGCAGACAGAAAGAGAGATAACATATTGCAAGTTTATGCGCGCATAAAAAATTTTATCTAAATGAAATATAAAATAACGCTTTGTAAAAAAATAACAGGTTCCGTTTCTGTTGTAATGCATCATTTCGGAAAACATTTGACTCGTTGATTGTTATAAATAAATATGCATATATAACAAGTATATATGTATATATATGGAAAATACGTATGTCATAACACATATTTTCTTACCATATATATATATATAATAAATAACATTTTACTAATGTTAAATATACAATACATACTAATATGTATTATTTAAATATTTTAATGTCACTCTAAATCATATCTCGATCATTACTCGAAGGAACTAAGGATGACAACCGTTACAGATCCTTTTATTATATATATACATATGCACGGAATGTTGTTAATTATTTGAGATTATATGATATTACAAGTTTTCTCTTTGTGGAATCTGTACTATATATATTCTATAATAGATGGTGCTTCCCGAGGCGAATGGATCGTTATCGATTCACCTCGCGCACATTCTCATAAAACTGGAACACTTGGTAAACGTACAGGAAATGATGCATGCATATACCCTACATATGGGTAAATATATATTGTGTCCATATAGTTCCTATGGGAATCCGTGTCAACGCGATTGTTAAGCAAATTAGACTAAACTTTGCCTTGATTCATGGTACAATAATTTTAAAGTTATCAATTCATCTCAATATACCTCATGATGAGCACTTTTAGTAGCAGGTTTAGCACCAGCGTAAACAGTAATGACTAATTGTCACGGTAAAAAAAAAGGAACTATACTGGATACCCTGTATGTGTGCAACGACGCATCAAAAAGAATTTCCTAATAGTTTTACAGGTACCAGTGTTAACGAATTTATAACACTGTGCTGATATGTTACCTGTTGGTACGGGTAAGTACGATTTTCCAAGCGGACATTGATTTCGACTGTAATATATTAATTTTTCTACGACCCCACCTAAGCCAGGAGAAACCTATGATTAAGCAGAGGATGCTCTCTATGTAATATCCGTCGAGCTGCATAACGCAAACACCGTTATTGGTATTCGCACAAAGCTGAAAATGCGATAAACAATTTTTACGTTGATTATTTTTCTATATAGCATAATAAAATTTAAAAAAGACAGCCAATGCGCTGCAACCAACCTCTCGCTCCGTAATTGTGCTACAGTCATTTGCGTAGTCGGTACTGCATTGTCTGAATGTTAAAGGATCGACAAACCAAAGCGCGGCAGTGGCAGGCCAATTTCCACCAAGATTGCACAAAGTATTGAGTAATGTCATGTATGTGCCACCAACTGCCGGATCGCTCACTTTCGCGAAGAAAGCCATCGATGCGACGAACATACTACTTGCAGAAATCTAAAGTGTAAAAAGGCACATTACAGTAGAACAATCTAAATCGAACATCCATCGAGGAGATTTATACAGTTTATATAATAATTACCTGATGTATAAAGTAGATGCCTATCAATATCACAAAATAATAAGCTGGAACATGTCCATTGACTACAAGGAACGGTGTAATCCACACTAAACACGCTGCTATCAAGCCGAAAGCTAACCTGTATTGTTTAAATTTATAAGTGTCATCCAATTAAAATCTATCATCTATAAATCATAATTACCTATAGGGCATAGCTTTCATGTAAACGTCCATAGGTCTGGGCCCAGCAGTATATTTCGAGATTATTAACGGCAAAATTATTTGTAACGGTATCATGGGCACGGCCATAAAAGCAAATTTCTCTTTAGGAAAACCGGCTTCTATGAGCTTTAAACTGGTTACAGCGTCGCATGCTGAAAACCCGATCTGCAGAATGGAACAATCGAGTAAATATAATGAAATTTATGCCACAAATTATAATTGCAAATGAGTAGTATTCAACCTTCGCAGTTAAGAGAAATATAATTGTGGTCTTTATGGTTGGTAATTTAACTATGTCCCACAGTAATTTGTATGCATGTTTAATATCCATATTTAGCTCTTCGCCCTTTGAAACTCTGCCCTTATCCTCATGCTTGAACAACGCAATGAACGTTGTCGTAACAATAAACGTCCAGCCCCAGAAATATAAAAATCCTACAAACAAAACATGCTCTTGTTACAATTCAAATACATATTTAATATAAACAATGATCTTTTCAATTGCTGGGCCCTTCTTACCAGGCAGAGTCAGTATGCCTTCCTCAGAAGGGGTCGACCTTAAGTAACTATTACAAAATTCAGCGGACTCCAACGAGATAAACAAAACATATCCAATAAAGTAGCCCGCCGTTTGGCCGACGCTGTTACACGTAGACGCATATCCGACGTTGCACCTTGATGGATAAATCACAATTAAGCAAATTTTATAATTATAAATATATGACGCGTGTACACAAAAGGTTTGGATACTTTGCAAAAGTACCTTTTAAGCATCGTGAGCGCCCATCCATCTACTACAATGTCCTGAGTCGCGGCGAGCACATTCAGGAAGAAGAATAACGCAGTCAACATCTCGATGTTGGGCTTTTCGTGCTCTTTGCCCAACCAGTGCTCTACATAATTCGACAAGAGGAGCATGAATATGCCCATCAAGTACTGAGTGGGAATCAACCAGGTCTTTCTTCTTCCAAACTTTTGGGAAAAAATGGAGTCCACTATGGGCGCCCAAAAGAGCTTCAACGAAAATGGCCATTGCACGAAACTAAATTCTGCCTGTGTCAACAAGTAAAAGGTGCATTACTTTCATGTTTTGCATGACTATTAAAACCTGTAACTTTTCAATATAATTCAAAGAATATATATTAGTACTATTAGAGTACAAATATAAGTTCTAGAAACCAGTTCTAGGAATATTCTGTATATTAAATGACAAATGTTTTACATGGTACCAATAGAGAATTATGTCTCAAAGCTTCTTTCATTATTCTTATTTAACTTTGATTTTAATAATCAAATAAATCAGGATAAACGTCGAAGAAATCAATCTCTTCAAGCATCAATCCTACCATCGAACAAATATTTGTAAAATACCGCAGCAACTTGGAAAAACTGGACCGCGCGAATGCTTTCCTTATAATCAGTATTCTCTCATCTGTTTCTCTCATCATTAACAATGCAGGCTAATTGTGCGTCGTGGAAGAAAGCTTTCGCGTACCTGTTGCCGATACGAAACCCCTCGGTTCTGCAACAACATAGGGATCGAGCCGCACAACCCCAACGGGATACCCTGCAGCAGGTACAAGAAGAACAGGATCGCGATGCTCTTCTCGTCCCCTCGCAGATCGGAGGGCTCCTGGACGTTGCTCGAGTCGACGGCGCCGTCCTCCGCCATCCGGTGCCTCTTTTCCAGCTTCCTCCTCATATTGACATCCATACGGAGTCGATCAGCAACGAATACTCACCGCTCGCGCACCGCTGGACGTGATTTTTCAAGGTTATCGCCGATTAGGTTAGAATCCACTTGTCACCGCATATCGCGGAACGCGCGACAGGATGTCGGGTACCCCGTCGACGACGATCTGAGATTCTCGACGACGAACGAGCGAGTGACTTACGCTGGCCGAGTCGTCGTTGACGACGCGATCACCGCGGGATACATAACCTGTCGCTGCCAGCCGCGGTTTTACGCTCGCGAAACGAAACGAAACGCCGAAATGACAGTTCGCGACGTTAAATTCCGTTCTCCACCTCGCTTCTTACATCGACATCGCGACGACGGAAACGCCGTCGGAAAGGGAAGCGAAGCGTCAGCTCGCACGACGACGACGAGAACTTGAAACTGCTGACTGCTCTTGCTCCAAACACCGTCGCGTTGCCACGTTCAGCCACGTTGCCCCCAGTTGCCCCTTATTAGGACACGTCAGTTATACCTTGTTTTTTTCTGTCCGCGCAACGTCACGTGCGCGCGACCTCTGGTGCGACGCTGCGCGACGCATACCGGACGAGGACAGACAAGGACAGATGGAGCGCGGAGGCGCCACCTTGCGCGCGTTTCGCGAGTGGAGTGGCGTCTGGAGGGACGCTTAAAAATGCTTAAAAATAAGGCTTTTTAGTCTGATACGGGGCTTTCGTCGGGTTTCTCAAGTTGCGACACTACGATCGCACGAAGAGACTTTATTTCTGCGTGTATGCATTACATTCTCCTTTGTCAAACGGTAGGGATGAGTGTTAGTAATGAATGTTACAAAAGGGTTACAAAAAATCACGCTCTCAACCTTTCCTTATGTAATTACAGGCGAACACGTCACAGCTCTCGTTCTCCGATGCTACGCCGACAGCTCGATTTATCAGATCCTTCACGTCCGATCGCACGGTACGGGTATTAAGCACGTTGTTTCGTATCCTGCAAAAAATTCAATTGGGTCAAGGCGTCTCTACGTAAGTCACAATTCGCGAAACGTAGCGTAATCACCGCACGCACGATATTACACACAGAGAAGTTAGATTGACACCTAGACACTGTGCGTGTATCTTGCGTTTCGCGAATTGCGAATTATGTAGGGGTGCCTTTAATAATCGATCGATTAACACGCGAAACACTCAGATAATGCCATGTGTAAAATAGCATACAGATTGGTAAGGTGATATTTCCGGTTTGCGCTCAAGACCTCGACGTCCTTGTTATCGAGATCGGACAGGTAATCCTTTTGGATCTCGCAGGTCAATCTGGCGACGCATCTTGGAGATACAACCAGTTTGTTGCTGGAGCCATCCCGTTGTATCTGTTCATAAAAAAGAAAAGAAAGAAAACAGCAGTTTGGCAAGGTTTCCGCGCGAAGAGATCGCGCCGTGCGATCGTACCTTAGCTAAGTTTTGCTTCAGCATGTATAAAATGTAATCCATTTGGACGTCAGGCCGCTCCTCCGCCGGGAAAGTTTCCGATCTTTTCCTTCTGCCGCCGGTCACGATGCCGATTGGCAGAAGAACCGGGTTTGAAGCTAACGCCGCGGCTGCCCCGATCAGCGCAACGCCCGCCAGAGCTTTCAACGCTATGGCCTTAACGGAAAAATATAATTTCTTATTCACTTCCTTAATTGATTGTCAAGATATTTTTAGGTGAAAAATGTTCATTCCTTCCTTAACCCGGAAACGGGCGCCTGGGGTGATTTTTATATTCCGGTATCGAAAAAATGAAGTTTTCTCACATCACAGTAAATTTAATGTGCTTCTTTCATTTTTTAAATATTTTTTGGGTTTTTCCTTACTTTTTTTCAGAAAATGTTGAGTAAATCAATATACATATTGTTCTCAAATACTAATAAATTATAGAACGAACAAAAATATGCAATATGTAATTAATAACAATAATTTTTAATTGTAAAAATCACCTTAGGTGACATTTATGCGTAAAAAGAAGTCAGGTGCCCGTTCCCGAGTTAAATATGCACCTTTTGCGCGTGAATGTTTCCCTGCGGTACGCTAGCATCCGGATAAGCTGGGTCGGCGGGACCGAATTCGTCACCATCGGCCAACGTTCCCGTAACCCCGTAGCCACCGGTCGGACCTCCATGTCCAGTTGGTCTGCCATAGCCCCCGTAACCACTAGCACCATAACCGTATCCTCCAGTATTTCCCGAGCCATATCCCAAAGCGCTGGGTCTATTAGCGGTTTCACTTGCGTGCGGACGCTGCCCGTACCTTTTTATCAAAATAAATGTACAAAATGAAGTCATATATAATGTTTGAACGTCGGAATATCACGGACCGTCCCTTATTTCATTTTCTAAATTTCTTTAAACTTTCGTAAACCTTCTCACACTCTTTTAATTTTTCAGAGCGAAACCTCTCTCTGTTTCTCCTTTCTTTTCTCTCTCTTTCTCTCTTTCTAGTCTTCTCTGAGTTAATACAGAAGACCCCGACGGAGATTAGCGGGAAATTTATGGTCGCGGGAAGTTGAGTAAATTTACCTGTCTCCCAACTGACTTCCTGCGTAGACTCCGCTTCCGCTTCCTCCACCGGGCCTGCCGCCGCCGCCTCCGATGGGACCTGGGGGCCGACCTTGGGTTTGCCATCCGTACCTGAAAAGAGCCTTTGCGTTATAAATTTTTTTTTTCACGCGTAAAAGACAGCGTTCTATCTATTACCTCTCAATAGGGTGTCGCTCGCCGTATTGGGAGGGATACCGTCCGCTCTCTAAAGGGATCTTGTTGTAATTATAATCCGGTCGTGCCAATCCGTTGGAACCATATTTAGAGCCGCAGCAGCTGGAACTTGCAAGTAGGAACGTTCCGAATAATTCGAATTGTCGACGAGCAATCACAAATTTTCCTATCGCGATTTAAGTTCAGGGGAAAAAAAAGAAGAAAGAAACGATCGGAAATATATTGACTTATCTCTTTCAAGACTCGATTCGCGATGCAGGACGGTCCTCGGTTTTTTGTCCGTTTTCTTCGTCTCCTCCTTATCGACGTCACCGAGGACGAGCTCCGACGTGTTTTTACCGTGGACGACGTCAACCAGGAATCGGTCCTCCGAACTGGCGAGTCCCTTCGGATGCTCGGTCGTTGTCGTGTATTCACTTTTCTCCGCCAGCGCGCGACAAACACCGAGGATGACAGAGAGAATTAGAACGTGCATCATCGTCGCGAGTATTCCACTTGACGGCCGAACTCCAAACGTTCCGGATATTGAGTGTACGAAAGTTATGTTGACGTTGCAAGTAGTTCGACGAGCGTACGTTCTAACGTAGAGATGACACAAAAGTGGCTCTCCAATTTCTCAAGTTTCACCTATTTATATAGCGGTCATGCATGGGATGCTGTCGCGTATTCACCCCTCAGGGACGAACGTAGAATTTTCTTGCAGTAAAATCTGTAAAGAGGTCAGAAAGCAAAAATTACTCTCTCCACGTTTTTCCTGTATTTTTTGGTATCTTTTTTTTTGTAATTGCAATTAAATAACCGGAGGTTTTTAAAGTTTTACAGTTACAAACAACTGATGTTTTGGGACATTTTATATATATTTACACATATGTGTTATATGTATATACTTCTTACTTATTTAATATCTAATTTCCAGAACGATAATATAAATTTTATAGATAGTTTCAGTTCTTTTTGAAAAAAATCAGATACATTAGACAACAAATGTAATGATAGTAAAGCGATCATTGGAGTTTATCCAAGCAAACTGTCTAAAACCGATAATAATATAATGACAAATGCTTACAAAATAATGGAACATTTACTCCGACTGACGATTTGATAGCTTTTACTCTTATTCCGGCTGCATAAATATTTCGTAAACGATTGTAGACCGTGTAACTCTTAAAATAATACCGTACTAGTTGCGTCCCTGAAGTCACAAAGTGTGACCAAACGTCAAGCGACAGAGGAACACTAGCGAAAATAAAAGTGTCACGAGTGAGTCAACAGTCGTCACGCCAGCACATTAATTAAGATTTCCCATTGTTTTCGTCACTTTCTTGCGAAATTTGGCAGGTCCGCGAGGCGGAATTACGCCAATAGGGTCCATCCATCTCGCCTCAACACCTCGAGTTAACACCTTGCGTGATGCTTGATGACCCTTTAGGAAACTCATCCAATCCAGCCAGCTTTCTCTCGCGTAATTAACGCTCAATTAATTTTGTTTTCGCGGAAATACGCTACAAGACTCGTATATAACTTTTCCTTCGTTTTTTTTTTCGACTTTCCCTTTGTTGTTCGCTACGGTCCCTTGCCCTTTCCGCGTCACGAAAGCTTCTGTCGGTGAAAATTCAAGCGTACACGTAATCTCAGTTTCTTTTAATCCCTGGTATGCTTCGAGCGAGAGAGACTTGAGACACACGATCTGTACAGCAAATCGAGATATCTGGTCCACAAGAACCAAACTCGAGAGTGAGTCGATAAAATAATAATAGCTAGGTCCGAAAATATTTCGCCGAATTTCAATTTTCCTCTGTTTCGTTCCTTTAACGAATCCCGCCGTTACGAAATGTGAACAGGACAATTTGTTCCGCCGCGGTAGCCTCTAGTGTGACCAACGACCGAAATTATCGAGCGACTACAGCGTATCCACATTGTTTCAATTTTTATTACCGCGCTATGAAATTTGCAACAGCGAGAAAAGCCTTGGGTCAGAATATCTCGAAGATGTCCTTGTAAAACGACATCTAATAATCCAGACTATTGTTCCTGCATTATCTTTTCAACATTTTTAATCATCGCTACAACAGGTAGCCAAGTTGATTGTCGCTATAGTCAATTATCTTTTAGTTGGCGAATTGCCTTAAACTTCAATCGTAAGAAGCACCTCGAGTTTGAAACAAAAAGGCGTTTCCTCGACCCTCTACCCGCGAGTGTTCAAGCATGAAGGGAGAGAGCGCGTGTACATCGGCGATTGTGTCGAGTGCGCGTATTCGATCAACCGCAGGAAGCGGAACGAGACGCGGGCATTAATTTAAGCAAAACCGACGACCCCCGCGAGGGCGGGCGAGCTGCAATGAAAGAGAGAACCCGATTCTATTCGCCGAGGATGCTGGGGACGGGACATTAGGGGCCTAATTTAAAGAAAAGAGGGGGCGGCCGCCACAGCCTCGAACGGGGGAGGGGGGAGAGGGAGAGATACTCTCCAAGTGGGAACAGAACGGGACGCAGAAAGAGAGAGAAGAATGGGGCATGGGGTGGCCCGGAGAAGATACGAGAGATCGCGGAACGGAGCGAGAGCAGAGTAATCAATACGTATTCACACGCGGTGCCTCGAGTTCCCCGGTTTCCATGGGAACTGACGCCCACGCATGCGTCGGTCCAGCGCGGTGCCGCTGTACCAACGAGATCGTCTGGAGGTCCGAATCAGTCTCGCGCCAACCATACCGTGCGTGAGAGACCACCGTTGCCGATCACACCGATGGGTAAAATCATGAAACAAATTATATCATATTTCCAAGATGATATACCAGCTCTTAAGACACATTTTTTTATCCGTATCGCAATCTTGCTCCTAAATTGACTTTAATATTCCTCGATTTCGCTGTTTGGCGAAACATCTCGCTGAACGTACATGCTGAAGAAGTAAAATAAATATAACATAAAGCGCTATGTATAATAATAATAATTTAGTAATGAAACATAAAAAGAAACAATACGCGATCTTAGATAGAGTAGATTGTTGAATTCTTCTGATGGACCCGGACATAAAAGCCCAGAAAGAAAAAGCCAGTCTGAAAAGGAGTATTCAGCTTCAAACGCCGAGATATCTATAGCTACTCCGGCGAACAATCGGCGTCTCCGGAGTCTAAAACACGATCAACCAAACCGTGCGAGATTGTTCCCCCGGCGACGGTCGTCTCGACCATCGGATGGTCGGCTCTATCGCCGTCATTCGGGGGTTTAGTCGCGGCGTCCATCCGACGGATGTTCGTTCCACCAACCGCCCTCACCCTCCGCTCCGGCTCGGCTACCCTTCCGGACCGCACATAAGGGATCGCTGCGACGAAGAGGGGACGAGGGTTGCTTGTCGCGCGCCTGCGTCGAGTCCTCAATGACGACTCGGCGAGGTAGGTGCTCGACCCGGACGCAGTTGGGAGAATACAAGCGGCAGGCAGCTCGCCGTTCCCGCGTAACGTGGGCTTTTCAACTCCGTCGAGTTGTTTCCCGCGAGCGTGAGAGAGATCACGCGGCGAGAACGAGGGGGCTGACGAGCGTGGTTCTCGGTGATCGTGACGCAAAAGTGAAGGTGATCCGCCGAGGTGAGAACTGAACGAAGACACCTGGTGACGCGAAGCTCGGGGCCCATCGGGGATATAATAACGCGAAAAAAAAAACTGACGTTCGATAATATCGGTCGGCGCGCGTTTAGGTTCGTTGAACCCTTTCGTGAATCTGCGGGTGCTGCGGCTGATGCGATTCGAGTGCGCTCGAGAGAGTGTATCGGCTCCACGGCGGCCGCCGCTGCCGGAGGGTGATGATGCGCGTCGACTGATTACGCGCGGATTCTGTGTTCCACGCGCGATATCGAATCAGCGCCGATCTACGCGCGAGCGTTATATATTGTTATTCCACCGTGACATACACGCGAGGGGAACTTGTGTTGTTCTGTGTCCCTTTAGTTTCCAGACACTCTAGACCGCGTCCTCGACATTTCTGTCCGCTCGCGTGTATATTCATCCTGCGTGTGTCGTGTTGTTTCCAGTGCACCCGGATGTGGCGTCGAGAAGGATTCGACGACAGATGCACGCTTGAAGAGGGAAAGAGAGCGAGCACGTCGGTTTTTGTGTAGTGCGGTGTATTTGGGAGCTCTTAAGTCGCCGATTGCATGTGGGTCACGAGTTGCATTCGTCCCAGCTAATGAGATAAAAGGTCCGCCGTGTTAAGAGGTAAGCCTGTTAACTGGCGTTACTAATGGGTAGAGTTGCTGATGCAACAGCGGAGAGTGAGATGGATTCGGATTAGTGTGTAAGAGAGGAAAATTTCAGTTGGCGATCTAGTTGATGTCAACGTAGAACAAGGCTGATCAGATCGACCTTCGGTATATCTGAGTTAATTAAAAAATGAAAAATTGTAAAATTATATAAAATAATTACATTTGTCACAGCTCGGAAAAACTCGCCACAGTTTAAACGTTCCAAGTCTATTCTATTCTAGACGAAGAAAAGGACCTTCGAGAAAAATCTATTGGCCGAAGGGAATACACTATAATAGATTTTAATGGACGTAATTGATAGTTTGGTAGCGCCAGTCACAACTTGTTTTAAATATTTGTTTTCCTCGAAGAAACATGTATTTCTTTTAATCGAACACTGCTTACGTAGACTGAATCATAGCGATAAAGTATTTAATAAGGGGGAAATCGTTATAGGCAATTACAAATTTTCATCGAAAGGATAAAAGTCACGTGGCTATAGTAGGTGCCTACAATTTATCGTGTCCTTAACCTCGCAGAAAATCAATGTTCTTCACATATCTCTGTGTGAATTGTACGTTCTATATACGTTACGCCGTTTAAGCAACCTCACTTACAGTAATAAATGAAATAAATAAGAATTCGTGATCCTTCCCCGTCATAGAGAGAAGCGTAATGCTTTACTAACAAAATTTCATCTTAATAATAACATAGGATAGAAAACGTAACGAACGTATTTGTTTAATTTTCGTATCGATAATTATATATCGAAACCATTCCGTAAAAATTGACTTTGCAATTTCTGCGTAGCCCGCACGTTCGCTGCTTGAAATTTAAATAAAGCACTAATGGATGAGCGTCCCTTAAGGTATGCAGCGGATTAGAGAATGTTCTTTCCGGCACAAAGGGATCGGTAATGAGAACTGCCGCAGTGTTTGCACAAGAATCGCGCTTCTTTTACCCGCGGTCCTTCGTGGATTGCTTGTAACGCGGAGGGGCGTTCGCCCTACCAAATTGTTTAAAGGAGAACGTTTATGTAAATGGTTCCCAAAGTAAATTCCGTGCCGTAGAGCAATACTGGTAATGGAGAAGTACAATTTTGGGAGATACAAGATTTTAATGATTAACGACCTTAAATTAAATACTCTCCGTGCATGATATTTATCTGCATAATCTTTCTCTTTAAATTATTACACATTTTATATTACGCAGGATTATAACAGATACAAATATCTTTCATATATTAATAAACGATATATTTTATATCAACGTTGCAATTTTTTATTCATTTTGTGATAAACTTTACATCCGTGAAATTGAAATTGCTTTAAGTACTACGCGGTAGACGAACGTTCTCATCTTTTTTTTCCGATAAAAAAAACTTGGTATCGATCGACTGCTGATTTCGTCTCTACGATATTTGACGTGCAAAGGCTTGACTAGATTCTGATCTCCCCAACTCTCTCCCCCTACCTAGTTCCTTAACTTAAATCTCACGAGGGTAACGCCGTAGGAAAGGGAGCGAATCGTGCGTCTTCCATGCTGGCTGCTATCCGCGTGATTCTCGAATCGAGCTGTTCTCTTCGCGGCTGCGGCGTTGTTCCCTCGTCAAAGATGATAGGGTATTCTCAATTGTATGTGCGTGGCACATCTCTTGTCCTGACGGGGAACGCGTTCCGTCGGTGACAATTGTCGATATTTCTAGATATTACATGTTTACTAGGCTTTCAAGACTCTCTCTCGAAATATATTGTAGATTGTGGATTATAAATTCGCAAAGCACACTTGGACTTCTGTATTAATGTTACGCATTTAATATATCAGATGTAATTATTTGCAATTTTTTAATCGCATAATGTGTCGTATGCATATCATTTAATACGCGATGAAGGTCAGATAGCCGCATTTAGAAACAATTCCGGAACGGATTAAAAACCGTGGCCTTTATACCTCTACTCCTTCCTTTATCCATATTTAATGGATCTAAAAATTAACTCAGCTACTTTTGTATAAATATTCAAGACAAGCTTTTCAAAACAATCAATTTTTAATCGACGCATGAATTTGGATACAATCATTTTCAGGAAAAAAAAATATATATTTTTACGATCCGAGATTTTCACGTTAGGCAAGATCGATGGGCATTCAAAGCTGTCGAGATTATGACATTCGGACATCCCGGTTGAAGAGAAAATCTTCGAGTGTTTTGTTTCGCGTATCGTAAATCCCGAAGTCGAGCCCGTGAAATCGTTGAAAAATTGCCATGGCGCGCGTTTAATCCTGGCTTTTGGGTCGAACGTTCGTACCGAGGGGATGCTGAGGGGATGCCGATACGGCTCGTACCCTGAAATCTGCGGACGGGACATTATCGCTCGGCATTCTCTCTCCCGGAAGCCGATGGAATCCCGTCCATATAGTTCAGACACGCGTGTTCAGCTCGCTGTAAAATCCTTACCAGCGATCGCGCGCGCTTTCACGTATATCTATACGTTTCATATCCGAGAAATCTTACGACGGGGAACTGCAGAGAGGAAATGCGTCTTACTCACCGATCTGTGAGAAATGCGGAGATAAAAGTGAATCCACACGTATCGATAGAAATTGAAATAATCCAAGTCACTTCACATCTTCGTTTATCGTGTTTCGATGAAAGACGTACATAACTTTTGACGGCAACGATATCAAGAAAATATTTAGAGACTTAAATTTGCATTTTTCTTTCTTCGCATTTAAGCTCTGACTATTTGTAAAAAGAGGACAGATTTGCAACCATTTTTAATATAATGTCAACAGTGTTGGAAAAACTCATTGTAAAATCGAGTTCAAAATTTATACCCATACACCCTTCTTCGATCGTGTGCCGTTGGCTAGTGGATTGCATGTACTGAATACCATTAAAGAAAGATCGATATTTGTACAGCGGCGTCTACCTCGAAAGGTATTATTCGCGAAGAACGTGTTATTTGCGTATACGCGTGTTCGGGACGCGCGTGAGGGTGCATTCGTTTACCCGATTTCACAGCTGTCGTAATTGAATTTCGAGTGCCGGCGCCGGATATAGGCACGGGTGGAAACTCATAAGGCCAATGTCGAAGGCCGAGCTCGGCTTCTCCGAGTAATTGGATTTTATAGATTGGCGCGCGATGGACCGATCGTTATAGATATCGAGACGCGCACCTGGGAGAATGCACAACGCTTATACTTAATTGATTTATTCATTGAGAAATATATAATAGGATATATATTAGAATCTAGAGTGATATATAAATAAAAATAGCGTGCATTTTCTTGAATGTGCCAAAAATCCCGTCAAAGAGTTCCTTGGAGCTTTCAAGGAGGTTGTTGATAAGTCGAGTGAAGAAACTAGGGACGCGGAAATAGATTATCTTGGAACAGATGTGCGAGGTGTGTTACTAATGCAACAGCGCCGAGGGAATACGAGCCGGCCAATGATGGTCAGTGGCATCCCTCGCTTTAGGGGAACCACCTAAAAATTGCACCTGATGCTTTTTCCTGAGTTCTCCTCGAAATCCAATCGACGCTTTATTTCCTGAAGATTTCGCTAGAAATTGCCGTCTGTCGCTCCAATAAAATCGTAATCGCCGCGCATTATTGCATGATGATTGTCAATGAAAGTTCTGGACAGATCCGGTTGATCATCTATCTTGACTCTGTAAATATTTAAATTTGCATTATGTACTTTCCACAATTAGTGTCTCTTAGATTATTCAAAATTGCATGTATATTTAGATATGAGAACTTCATATCGGAAAGTTGTAAATGTAAATTCTCAAAATAAAACGTTAAAATAAGAAGTAGTTGGAAAAAATATATTTATCGCGAAGACAAGAACAAATCTCAATCAGTTTATTTATTCTCTAAATCCGCTAACGTCTGTTAGAAGAGATGTCGTGTGTACAAAGGTACAAGACTGATAAAATACGGTAGCCGGATGAATGCATTTTATCCCCAGCTTCCGTGAGAGCGACTTCTCTCGGCGGTAATTCTGTGGACGAAGGAAACATTCGGAAAGCGGAGGAATAAGATATCACACGGAAGACCAGGGGAAACCAGTGCCATTACAAGACTATCTATATCTATCAGGATATCATTTAATCTCTCGAGCTTCTAATTGGCTTTATAGATAAAGCTGCCGCGCGCCGTGTTACCGATGTTTTAATAAAGCCTGCCAGAAATACAGTAATAAACTTCTCTCCGTTGATCTTCCCCGTTGATACGAGACATCTGATAAAATGAATTTCTGTCGTGTGGTGTTTCAGGAAGAAAATGTGGAGCTCGGTTACCGCGGCTGGCACTGAAAATGGACCAGCACCACCCTCGAGGAGCAAGCACAGTGCCACCTTACTTGCCGGTCACGTATATCTTCTCGGAGGCCGAAATGGCAACCTACCTCTCAAAGATCTCTGGCGATACAGCCTTGGTGAGCTTTAAAATTTTTCCGCTTATACCCGGCTTATACATATGTTGGCTCGCACATCATCGCACATATTATTACATTAATCGATCATGAGCTATGCGTCGCTTCCGGAACGTAGAATATCCCGATAATTATCGAGAGAGTGATCGACGGTATATTTCGAGTGGTTCCCAAGTGCGCGATATAATACCGACGTCGTCTCTCTGACCAGCGCACCCCATCGTATCCGCTGGCGCAACCCCATGGAATAAGGGGGCGCGCGACGGAATTTGAACGGGGTTCAGTCTGATCAATAATGCACCATTATTAAAGCCTACGTACATCAGTTAAATCCGCGGACGATACCCCACAATTACGTGGTGTTTCCACGGAGATCAGACATATGTGAATTAATTGCATCCGCCGGCCGTAATCAGTGGCTTATGTACGTGACAGGGTGAGATTTTCCTCCGACTGAAATGTTCCATCGCTTTTATCCGCGTTCATCCCTAACCACACGGGGGGGTGTTAGCGTCTTATCTCGCTTCCGAACAATTAAAATCTCATATATCGTAACTCTTTTTGTCGCGCCTTGTATATTTTGATTAACGCAACGAAAGGTTTTATCCCACGACACTACGAGAGATCATGAATATGTCGACGTCTAGAAGCAATCTCGAGAAGAGCGATGATTTGTGAAGTCAAGTATAGTCGATGTAGCACGAATTCGCTTCGCTCGTGCTCGCACGAACGGGTCTCTTAATCAGAGAGTATTGTTCGACCGTGTGCTTGTTCGGGTGAATACTGAAGCAGCTGCGGAAGGGTTGGCGGGTAGCGCTTCGTTTCCTGGGACAATGTTCCCGCTGTCACCACCCTCCGTTTTAAAAAGCTTTGTCGCTCTACTTGATCTTGCAAAAATATTGTGATAACTCGAAGAATCACAAGAGTGCTCCAGCGGAACCAGTTTTCGTTCCTCTTCTATCAGATTATTAGAGGGGTAACTATTTTTGGAGAAGTGTGAGAGCGGCATACTTAAAAAAGTTAATTGATAGAAAAAAGTTGTACGGGAGGAAGAGGATTAAAAATTAATTTAAAGACTGTATTCTTATTTTCTTAAGAATGTAAATTTCTCTTAATGACATAAAATTCCTGCGTAAAATACCTTTAATATTCTCTCTTGTGTCGTGAAGATATTTAGAGAGGCAACAGTGGCTCAAGTTGTTGTGCAAAGCACGTATATCCACTCGTTCGGAAATGCCGAATCTCTTGCGCATCGAACACACTGCAATTTTGCAATGCACGCTTTTATACAAAGGGAGGTATTGTTCCACTGTCCAAAACTAGATACGACACGTGACACGTGTACTACGTAATCAATGTCGGGCATCTAGTATCACTCTAGCGGCATCGGGGATGCTTCAACCGGCACATTACGGTCCTTACTTTAGGTCTTTGTTCTCGAGCACGTTCCGAGGAGAGGCTGAAGCTTTGGAGGCGGATATTGCGGAATTAGGCGATATAGATGTCGGCACGAATGTCGTTCACGAATCACACGTATTTCGTTCTCTCATTTATTTATGGATATTATCGTTCCCCTCAAAGCGGTTTCGGGTGAATAAAGAGGATGCGAAATGGAAGGGACAGAGCGAGGGTCGTGAGATAAAAGGAAGGCGCTGTTTGAAAGATGTGAAATCATAGAGAAGGGCGTGCGGAGATAAGAGGATATAAAATTGACCCTTTAAAAAATAATTTAATATAAAATAAATGAGCAATAATATTCCACGAGCTAATCTAATAGAAATCAACATCCGATAAATCAGAATCTAATAGCAAGCTTCCTGGCACACCAGGAATAAGATTACGTCGAGAGGAAGCATAACATTAATTCAATGCACGGAGAGAGAAATAATAATTGGCGCATGCAGCAATATCTCTAGACTCACTTCGATATTCACTAGAATATTCACTAGAAGAATATTTCGATAAAAGATGCAAATTTATGCGCTACCCGAGCGAGCGTTTTTCTCGCTTTTATATCTTTTATACCTTCGCCGAGGGAGCCCCGGCTCATTCTTCACGATAGTTTCGAAGGATGCTGAGACGTCTGTTTTATTAAGAGGCCAGATATACAAGAGATTTTTAATATTCTCTTCGCAAACTGTCGCCATTACGATGGCGCAATAAATCCCAGATTTCCCATCCAATTTCCTCTTCGTTCTCGTTTTGTTATATACAAAAAATGTATCAATTAAATTATTAATTGCGAGAATTCACAAAATATAAAACATCCACGATATCACAATTACTAAAACTGCGATATCACAATTACTAAAACGCGAATTACAACATTTTGTAATTATTTTATATTTAATATAAATATCGCGTGCCTTATTACACTAAAAAGCGATTCTATTTTTTTTACCAAAAACTAGGATATGCAGTATACACATTCTGCTGAGGCCGAAGTCGGTTATAAAAATGCAAGGAGTGCATTAGAAAAGCCCTGCTTGGAAAAGCCCGACGTTTTACGTTCTCATGCATTTGTAACACGTGCACTTTTTATAATAGCTGCATGCCTAGCCCGGAGGATAAGAATGTCGGATTACGTGACATGTGCTTCGCCTTGTTTCTTTTTCAGCGGAGAGCAAATGGGAGGAACTGCATCCAGGCGGCGAACGACCGCCGGCGCTTCAGGAACACAGCACGGTGGCGTATAAGGATTGCCTCTACGTTTTCGGCGGCGAGCTCGGGTTCTCTGCCGGAACGGAAACGCCACTCTGGGTTTATAACGTCAAGGTAATGCTTCGCACAAAATACAAGTGTAGAATGCGATATCGCGTATCGCGTACGGGAAATTCAAGTCGCGCGAATAAGTGCCGCTTAGACTGAGCACTTTTTACGGCGATAAGCATCGGCATGTTGCCACACTTCTGATAACGATCCCGACAGTCAGCGTCGGGATCGCGCTGAGAAAACTCTTAATGATCTTCCCCACGAGGCGACGAGGGGAGTCTCGCCGAGAAGGCAGCGAGAACGAGAGATGGAAAAATCGCACCCTCGAGAAATATCGCTTAACCGATAGCAACGTCATCGGTTTTACGAGTTTTACGCGGTAGCGTGCCACTTTCCCTTGCCGCTGATACAGAGGGATGGTTTTAGCGACGGGTGACAAGCTACCAAGGGCAACCGAGGCTTATCCGGCCAATAATGGCTCGCGGATCGAGCACGTGTAGAAATTCACCGAGCTATACCGTTTGTTATCCTGTTGTGCCTCACACAGTGTCAAGCACTCCTTGGGGAGAATAATAAGCGCGACATGAAACGAGCAACACGGGGTGGTTGGCCTCTTTCGGTGACGAGGGAGATGTCTCGCGTGCGGACGACCAATCCCGCGAAATAAGCGAAGCTCGGAATCGATGTTGCTTTTCGTCGATTCTCGTAAACAAGAATGATGTAGTTCGGGCACCGACCAACCTCGGTTTACCAAGATAACATTTGTCCTAATAATTTGTCTTTCTCACAGAGACCCGATTATCATGATACTGTTAGTAACTTTAAGTCGTGTTTTAATGAAGGATTTTATTTTTAACAGAAGATATATGATATTTTAATAATCTTTTGTAATATGCAAATTATACATTACGTCGTTTGTGTCGCTAAACAATTAAGAGTTATTAACGTAATCTCTGAGAGAATTAGAGAATTATGTATTTTAATGCTACGTTTTTTATTTATTTACGTTGTTTAATTGGTAGGAGATTACGTGTTGGAACTCGCGTACACCTCAAATTTAAGGAAAGGCATCGGTGCGCGATATTATCAATCAACTTCGACGCGGTTGTCCAATATTGCCCTTCGTCTCGTTTACCAAATCGAAGGGGTGCAAACCTTCCTTCTGATCACCGAAACAGCCATGGCGATTGCCCGGAGGCTATTCGGAGGCTGCCCATCGTTTCATCTAATCAGACCGCACGGGTCGTTCTTAACTAAATCTTGTTAACGAATTCGATTGAAATCCTGATAGCGAATTCCAGACGAAACGCGGAAAACCCCTGGCGATATTTTATGAAAATCCTAGCTGAATTAAATGAATAAATCTTCATTGATTCGTGATCATCATCTATCTTCTTGATCAGATCTACAAGTCATCAGAAATTATTTCACGATTTCATTATGATATATGTCGAATATTATATTTTCTTTTGGAAAATATTAAGTTTTCTGTTTCGACTTTGATATAACGTATTGCGTTTTCGATTGTTGAAAGAATGTCTACGTAATGCTTCATTCATACAGAGGGAATGACAGAAATGCATCGATGATGAACGAGCTTTCGTCTCGATAGAATAGTATATGTTCAGAGTGCTGGCATTACTTCCATTTTCGAAGATATTGCGAGATTGCAATCGATCTCCGGAATATATAGTTGCAATATTAGATCTCAGAGAGGTGAGGTCTCAACTCAAGGATCAACTTCAAATTGATGATATCCCAAGCAATTACCTATCGGATAATTATAGCCTATGCAATGAACTTATATGATTTAAGTTATCTCCAATATGCAAATTAAATTTAACACAATTTCGATTTATGTTTAATCTCATTTTTTATAATGGAGCACCGAGGGAAAGAAGGTTTAGATTCTTCGAAAAATCGAATTAAAACTTTTTTTAAGCGAAAATACTAAGAACTTAAGAATTTAACAACAAATTATTAATTTTAATAAGCTAATTACACTAATTGCTAACACATAATAAAATTAACTTTAAAGAAAAATACAAGCACATTAATTTTCTGTAAAGTCAAATTAAGATCCTTTCTCTCTATTTTTTATAGATATATATATATTATAATATTATAGTATTATAATATTATAAAATTTTATGTTGATTCTTATTCGCTTTTCTCGTAACAGTGTTAACATTTACTGACGTACCCTCTAATTTCATACAATATTCAGAGGAGGTACATCTTTCGCGAGACCTTCAAGAGCAATTTAAGTCGAGGGTGGTTTTTGGCAGCAGCTGGTGTTAACAGGCTTTCTCTCCGATTCGTACCCTTGAAACCAGACAGGGCTTCATTCTCCCAAGGGTAGTTGCCGCTCACGTGCGAGGCATTAAAAATTAATAAATTTCGCGTCAAACGTGGGATGCGAGACATCACGTGTCATCGATTCGTTCTATCGGTTATTTTCTTATTTATTACGAGTAAAATGGAAAAGTTGAAGTGTCGATTTCTTTATTTAAGAAGCCCTACATTTATAAAAGTATATTGCCTTTTATTTCTAATTCTATCAACAACCAAGTAACAAAATAAAGTCGTCTAATCTCATTCGTGTAAATGCATTTACCACAAATCTGCAAGTTTTCACTGAATTACGTTGTATGGCTTTATGTACAGTTTGATATGGGGTGGATAAATGTGTCAACTACACTGATTTTCCTTCGTCAGCAGTGGCTGGCTATCTCTTTCACTCAATAGGTTTCATCTACCATATTATTCTGACAATCCCTTTTACGTAAATTTTATTGTCTGCGAGACTTTGTTTATCCTTTCGCTGTCTTATTCATCTTTAAATAAACAACATTATTGGATTCAGTAAAAATGTTATGTTTTTCGTTAGTTTCTCCTGATACTAATAATGCAAGTTTCAAATTTTACAATCTGCGAATTGTTGAAAAGAACATTTTGTTATAGACAACATAGACGAGGCAAAACTGTATCGAACGGGAGAACGCAGCCAACTCTTTTCCAGCTATTTCGTATGTCTCGAGATTTTTTTGGCTGACAATGAGTTACCATGGTTACTCTTGGTCCATTTGTTTTTAATCGTTCGACCATGGGAGGAAATACGGACGTATCCCACCGCTGTTTCTGTCTGTTCGCCGTGTATTATTGAAATCTGCGTTACAAATGCGTCAGAGGCAAAGCTGATTGGCTAAGCCGGAGGGGTTGCTCGGCGCGTTTGTTCTCTCCCTGCTTCTTTTACCTCCCTGTCTCTTTCACTTTCCCTCCGTACTTCGTTAAAACACTACCTTGTTTGTAGAATAGAAAGTGGAAGTAGGTTCATGTGTCATAACATACGTTCCATTTCTTTTACATTGTTAATTTACGAAAAACTTTATTTAGAGTTTGTGAATAACGAAGGCCATTCTACGCTATGATATTCTACGATGATGCATAATAAGATTGATATTCGTTTGAATCTTTTTACGGTTTATAAATTCCTTTTGTCCAAAATGCACATATTGTAACATATATCAGTTATTCTCATATATGACAAAATATATGTTTATAACTAAATATCTCGAGAGGGTAGTAGATATATTCACAGCTCCCTCAGAGAGCGGAACGGACACCGGTAGTCCTTTTGATGTATAGTGGCAATCACGGGGTCTTTTACCCTGCTGGAGGTAATGTCTATCGCGAAGCACGCTGATTTCCATGTCCCTGTGGTACGAGTGTGTATGTGTGTGTGTGTAATGCTCGAACAAAGACTACAGAGATAGCCGTTGCCGGCTAAGAGTGTCAAAAGTAATTACATAAAGTGCGCGTCTAAAGCCGATGGGTTGAAGCGACTTGATCATCTCTTGGGTAGATCTGAAGCTGGTACTGGAAACTTGTGTCTCGTCTTCATCTCGATTGTAGCGGAAGGGAATGATCCCTTCGAGTGTATTCACCAGACAGTTACACGGTCCATTTGTTCATCTCCATGTTGCAATTCCATGAACCATGGTATTTCGAGAGAAGAAGGGTAATGCGATTTTAAAACGCCAGTTGATACGCACGCCCGAATTTTCTGCTAGACTAAGCGATAAATCTCTCCGAGGAGGGAGGGGGAAGGGCACAACGTATTGATTTCATCGATACGTGTAAATATAATGGACACGCGAAGAACGCTTCTTCTCTGCGGCATACTTTTCATGGAAATTGTTCCAAGGTAACAACATGGTAAAAATAAATCTATACTATCTACCTACGTAACGATACTTGAGTATTCTTTTGTGAATATTAATCATCATCAAAGTCTTTTCGTAATATTGTAATTTCGTAAATAACAAGGCAGTACTGTCTTGATAAAATATCTCCATTGCATAACGTTATAAACTCAACAGAATATTTCACCAAATTTACATATGCACCCTGGTGAAAATTTTTCTCATATTTTCTCAGAAAATTCTTAAGAATTTCTCATATTTTACATTTATGAAAAATTCCGAAAAAATATGTCAAATTTCTCAGATACTTTCAGACATAATTGAATGAAGATTTTCGGGATATATTTCAGTATCTGTATGTATGAACATTTCTGATAAATTGCGTTTATTTTCTCAAATTTATTTAGATTTCTACAAAGATGTGCTGAAAAATGTTCCAATTTGTATAAAAAAATCTTAAAATTCTGAGAAAATCTTAAAGTTTTAATAGAAATTTTGATTATTGATATGAAAAATTCTGCGATATTTAACCATCAGGGTATAATCTTATATACCTTTATATATTTGATGTAATATGTATTTTTCAAATTATTCGTCTTTATAAACGCATATATTCTCTTTCGTAACACACCCACGTCATAGTTTTATAATACCGGGCCGGTGGCTTTACATATTGCATACATTCCTTCATCCAGCCGCATGCTTTTCGTAACTGGATGAAAGCTCGCGTTATGAATGCGTTACCAGGCTCAAATATTCACCGTTGAATACCGACTACGCCTCTCGTCTGCGTATGTTGCTACGCTATGTCTTCGACATCGGTGAAAAAACGTATTAATTCATATAAATAAATATTTTCCGCACGGAGCGAATTTACAAAACGCAGTTTTTAATTTTTGTCAATATAAAAATTAACCATGTTAAAACTACACCATTATGTAGTAATAATAGAGGAAAGAGAAAGAGAATTATTTGCCTAATGAATATTTAAACAGTCCAAATTATACAATACGTACTTTGTAAGCGCACGTTTTGCTGAATGAAATATTTACCAGGATTCGCGTTGCAACTGGTGAGAGAATAATTTTCGCATATCTATTCAGTGGCGGTGGCAACGACGATTATCGCAACCCCAAGAGTTAAAGCCGAACCTATTCAGACGGTAGAATTGGAGGGTCGCAAATTAGAGGTCTTTGTCCCTTTTGTTGCTGGCCGGCCTTATTATACGTCATCTTCACAAGTATTCCCAAAAATGCAGAGATGTAGAATCAAGCTCGTTTATAAGCGGAAAAGCAATTCTTTAAGAGAAATAACGCGAGTAATGAAAAGCCAAGTAATCTGACTGGTGAAATGATTATGATTTTCAGACAAATATATGGAGAAAGGTGAGAGCTCAACGGGGTTGCGTGGTTCCTAGAGGTCGGAGAGGCCACACCGCCCTGGTACATCGCGGACAAATGCTCATATACGGCGGTTACCAAGACTTACGTGGAAGCTCCTCTGAACTCTGGGCTTTTCATTTCGGTAATGTTGCTACGATACCTCGTATACAGCTTCGTATACCGCGATCAATAATAATGTGTAACCAACTCCAACTTACTTAACGTTACAGAAACTGAATCTTGGCATCTGCTTTCGTCGAGCGAAAGTGGGCCGGCCGCGAGACACAAGCATTCAGCGGTTTTGCATGGTGATGCGATGTATATTTACGGTGGGATGACGGACCTTCAAGAAAGGAACGATTGCTGGCGATGGGACGTCAACAGCGCTTCGTGGTCCATGCTGAAGAACAAACCAGGCCCCGGACCTCTTCATGGCCACGCGGCATGCAGACTGCCAAGTTGCATGCTGATCTTTGGCGGTGAGAGCGGCGGTTTGGCGACAAATGAGCTTTGGAGATTTCATTTTGGTACACGTTGTTACATTATTACAGTAAAAAAGTTTTAAGTGTACAATATTATATGATTTTCATAAATCAATTAATTATTATTTTGACAGGTACAGAAACCTGGGAGAAATTGACGATATCGGGGCCGAAACCGCAACCGAGAGCTGAAAGCGTCGCTCTCGCGGTGTCCGAATTGCTGATTCGAGGAACAGGCATAGACAATTCAAAATCGAGGCCGAGAAACCAAAGGCCTAGGTTGTCGAGCAATAGAATATCGCCGAACGAGGCACCCTCCGCCAGACCCAGTTTTCTCAGGGAAATTTCAAAATTATCGCAAATAAATCTGTCGAGGCTCAGTCATCCGACGAAGTGTAGTTATTCAGTTCTCAGCGGACACGACGATAATGAAGAAAGCCCCCAGGAGGTATGTGTGTCCACATAACTTCCGAGATACGTTCTCCATCGATGCGCTCTTATATTCCAATTAGGCCTGCATGCAGGCAAACACATATTATCCTTTTCAGCAAGTGGACGTCGAAGTGGTCGAACCCTCCACGGGAATGGTGAAATCTCGTAGTGCCAACACGCTGGCCCGCCGAAGACAAAAAGCGTCGGAGGGAATGGCGAGGACGACTGACGTTAGCAATACTAGCAATACTTCTGGTATGACCAGAGATCCTATTTCGGTGCCAAACTTTCGTGCTTTGACGTTACCAACCCCTGTTCTCACGCCTATAGAGGCCGCTAGATTGGTCTTCGTTGATCCGGATGAGAATAGCGACAATGAAGAGCGTAAGGAACCGCCCACGTCGAGACTGATCGAGGTTCAAGAGGAAAGACGGTAGCTGCCTCGAAATAACTACTCACATTTAATTAATTTGTTAAAGATTCAGTAAGATTCCTACATTTGTTATACGTTCGTTGCAGAGATTTTGCAGCGGTACACCAAGCTTGCCAGCCCACCCGCGGCGAGAGTTACAGCTCGCATCTCTATGAAGCCGCTCTGCAAACGCCAAAAACTCCGACGACGACGAAAATCCCTACTTCCGCCTCCGTTCGTTTCGCCGATCTTGAGGAGGGTGAGGAATCGACGTCGGATTACGCGAGTATCGAGGCGAGAAGTCCGGGCGATCCGCTCGCGGAGGATGATTGGGTGTCCGGAAGAAGATCGAAGCCGCACAGGCCGATTGTCACTTCGTCGACGATACGAGAGGGCCAGTTCGGTTTCTGTAATCCGAATTATCTCGGCCTGGATGAGACCAAACCTGGCCATCACCACCACCACCATCATCATCATCAACAACAGCAGCAACAGGACGGAAAGTATGCCAAGTTGCTCAACAGTCCGCCCGATAGCGTATTGGAGGATGAACCTGGAAGATCGGCTTCGCAGACGTTCGCAGAGCTCTTGGAGCTTCAGGAGATTAGGAGGGTGCCCCGAGCGCCACCGAAGAGCCTGCCGTTGGGTTCGCCGTCGAGAAGAGCGGTGAGCGCGTCGAGGGCCGAGAGGCAAAGGGCAAAGGTGGCGGCAGTGGACGGGACCGACGCTAAAACATCTTCCTACGGACCGGCACCCTTGTACGTTTTTTTGGTTGGCGGTAAAGAAAAGGGTCAAGTCACGGTGTTCGCCAGGCCGGTCTCTCTTTGGAAGTTACAGTTGGCGCCGCATATCTTCTAAGGATGACCGATGGTCCATTTTAGCTGAGTCATCCGCGCATTAGTGATAAGAAAAGCACGTACGAGAAGACTGATGATTAAGGGAAGCGTTCGTGCAGTCCAATTTTTCCAAGTTACTGTGGTGTTTTACAAATATTCCTTGATGGTAAAATTGACGCTTGAAGAGATCGATTTTTTCGACGTTTATCCTGATTTATTTTATTATTAACATTAAAGTTAAACATCGTTAGTTTTATATATGTTGCGTTCTTCGTTACAGAGCGAATATGTCTTTTGTTGTAATTGTTGACTTCTTTCGTTCGTTAAAGTTTGTTGATTGCTATTACCACTTACGTCATATCTTCTACGTTGCACTGTCAACGTCGAAATCGAAGAAATCGCGGAAGAGAAGTATCGTAAAACATGCCAAAACGTAGCCATTGTTTCTGGCAAATGCCGTCAATGTATCAATGCGCAATATATATTTGAGAAGTACATTTTAAAATATAGTAAATTTTATCGTGCAGAAAGTAATCTATAATAACGTAATCGCTGCTTAGGTGAGAAATATAGAGATCATCACTCTTGATTTAATGTGCCGATAGATAGGTAAATAAGTAGATAAATACGTATTTAGAAAATCATCAAATAAATTTATAGGAAATTATTTTATCGTATTGTTGCTTTTATGAATCTTATATTTTTTAATTTGTAATTCATTAATTACAATTCTATTCTGTATATGTATATTATTTATTGACTTATTTATTACTGATTCGTAAAGTATATTAAAAATCATCGCATCCATATTTTTATTTCTTTGTATAAAAGATTAACATTCTCTTACGTTTAACTCGAAAACATGTCAAATTAATATTCCTACTGTATGTGAAACGTGTGTGTTTAAAGTAAAGCCATAAAACACAATCTTCGCGAATCGTGAGTTCATATTGAACCTGCCGATTCAAGTGTTCTCAGTGTGAATTTTGTAAAAAAGATGAATGTTCAAATATAGAAGCGCAGATCAAGTCGGCGATTGAGATTGTACTGATCTTCAATAGTTTTACTGATAAAAGCGCGATTTAAAATATCGCGTCGCAATCCTATATTTATTATCGCATCCGTCTCTTAACTTTACGATACGTAATTTATTCGTAGGATATGATAAGATACTAAGTTCCCCGATCGCCAAAACTTCGTGTTATATGCAGGTAAGCATCTGCAAAGTCGTCTGGCCTGATCTGCGCTCAACTGCCATCGAATGTGAAAATTCAATGTGCGTAAAATATGGGATAGAATTAATGTCAGATGCGTAAGCTTAAAATATTGTAGGATCAGAGGTATACACGGTATTCCATCATTCGCGTCTACTAATTACATAGCGCTATTACTTAGGAATAAGGGCGCAAATTAGGTGGACGTTATTTAATAATACCCTAAAAAGAAAAAAAATGGTTCAGGACTTTTCGTCTTGTTTTTCATTAAGCATAATAGCATCTGATGTAATTAGTGGATGTAAATCATGAAACGCCGTATGTATCATTCAAAGATTACGAGATCGACTCGTGATTGTTCCACTGTAGAGATTATTACTGACCGATTCTTCTATTCTGCAGTAGATAGATTTTTATAAAGAAATTTTAATTTTTATTGCAGTTTGCGAGGCAAATCAGTAAGCTGTAATTCTTTAGCAAAGCAAATTAATTGTTCGCCGGAATGACTGGAAAATAACCAAAGAAAGCATGCGATAATTATTGATCTCAAAAATAAAATGTTGCATATACGTGTGTTGACGAGAAACTAGCGATAATTTTTATCTGCCAATTTACTTGAAAAAAATAATGTTTTAAAGATGCCAAAACAATGCTTTGTATAGTCTTTATATACCCGAACCGTTCGCTCCCAAATATTCGCTCGCTGATACTTCAAATGTTTCAGTGTCATTTGACGATTTTAAAATACGGCAAACAAAAATTTCGAGTCCGTAATTGTATAAATCAAGCAATTGTTTATTTTGTATTATATTAGAACAAACTAACGGTAGCAAAGCACAATTTCTTTTTTACAGCACTCTTTTACAGAATACAAGCATTTAGAAGTCACTAAAAGAAGGCTTGTGTTCTAAGAGACTATAGTCGCTATGCTGACGTCAGCGATCCTGCGTCGAGTCGCTGCAGAATCGCGAATCGAAAGTCTTTACCGTGATTGTATCTATTCGTCGTAGTAAGTTAGTTTTAGTAAGCGTATTATAAGTAGAGCAGATGCGATGGGCGATGGGAGCTCTCTTGTTCGTGTAGAATTTTTATGCCCGTAAAGGCCCAACACATGTAATCCATCCATAAGTAGCTAAGGTCGACGTGGCTTCTCAACGGGCTAGATATTGAGAGATGCTTGTATTCGCATTGTGTGATCTTCAATGACAAAACGTTTTCAAAACAATAATCGTTCTGCAATATTATTTATATTAGTTATTGTTATTCATCACAAAACGCAATATGACGAAGAGATAATCATTTATAGCGACTGTATTACCGGGCAAGTGCAATAACTAGAATTATTTGTGAGGTCAAGGGAATCTATTGAGTCGGTTAAAAATGAAGATTTATTGCAAACATCTCCTAACTGGTGTAATGGAGGAGTGAGTTATATCGCAAATCTTAGGACGTGCAATCAATGTTAAATTACGAAAGTTTAGTGGATACACAAAGGGTTGCTCAAAGGAGGGGTCGCTTTTTAAGCAAAAGGTCTCCTGATATCTAGTCTCGGGCCTCGGATACCCGAAAATCAATGTTTTCCATTTCGTAGAGCTAGTCAATTACATCTCAGTGTACAAAACTTAAGCTAAATGTTTTCGTATTATCTCTTCACTTTACTGTGCATTTACCCTCGTATAGACATTTCATTATCCCTCCTACGTCGATATTTCGTTCGTCGCGGTTTTTCGTTTCTTACGGCTAGCGAGTCATCCGCATTACTGCAAACAGAGGCTGTTTATACCTCGCAATACGCAATCTTCATTCCCACGACCATCCAGCCACGAACAAACGATTTTGTATTCACACATTCCTTCTCTCACGGCCATCTTGGCACGTAACAAAACGAATTACGTGTAATACGCTAGTTTTGGAGGAGAGACAAGCAACAAATTTTACATTGCGTAGCAATCAAAGAAGCGAAAATAAATGACGTTAGCGTACTCTTTGTATAAGCTTTGAACGTAGCCCGTCGGTCGGGTACATCGCTGCATGAATTGTCGAATTAAAAGGCAAATCATTCCTACAGAGTTCCGTATTTACAGAGCGCAGTATTTTTTCAGAAACCGAACCTTCGAATAGAGAGATGACTCTTACTCTTAATTAATTCTGTATGCTTAATATCGAGACAATATATATATACGAACGTATTACGTGGTACGAAGCACCGAAAATACATGATTGGTCACGCAAAAATGTACGTATTTTTCATAACGACTACATTAAAAATTATCGCGACAACAAGTGTAAGCACAGTTATTAAGTACAGTTAGATAAACGCAGTAAACCGATATTTTTTCGAGCAAGTTCCTGCGAATCTCTGAATTTTATAAAAAGTATGATATTTCCGGTGCTTGGTACATATGTAATTCCCTATATGTATAGCTAGCTACAACATTTACGTGGATTTATTACCCTACTGGATTGGGTGAATGTGTTTATACATAATGCGAGCGTAATCGATATTGCGTTCATTACCCTCTCATATTTGAATGTCGATGCGAAGGTACGCGCCTGACAAATCTGGGCTCTTTGGTTCTTGTATAATTATTGGTAATCATCTGATTGGTAATTATCAATCGCGTTTAGTTCATTATCGCACTGTAATTAATGTAACAATTATTAATGGAACAGTATTACTATGATTAGAAAATATACTATATATATAATTCGATAATATCGAGATCGTGTCATCTTATTATAATCGTACATATTTCTTCCTCCCTATTGCGTGTTTTTATTTTATATCTCAATGGACCCACATTTCAAATATTATTCATTATATCATTTACAATATTATTATTCCATATGAGGTAATAATATATAATTAAATTTTGCGCGCCCAGCGTGTAATCTATAAACAAAAAAAACCTAAGAAAAAATGTTTAAAATTGCGTAACCGTTCAATGAAGAACATATCATGTAACTTTTTTTTCAGTGCGCTACGCTTAGTTAATACAATTTATCTTACTTATGAATTAACAAACATTGTTGAAAAACAAGTTTAAAACTTGTTAGTCATTATTCGCACCGAGTATTAAATCGAAACATGTGTAAAGAGACAAACTTTTCATCAACTCAATTGTGTAATCTAGTAAATTATTGTGAAAATCTCGAAAAATCTCTTTAAAGCTCTTTATCCGTGACAGGTGTAGATATAGTAAGTCCTTGGAGATACTGTTCCAAATTACATAATAGATCTTCAACATAACTTTATTACATGCCACATGTTTTATCTTAATTTCTTTTAAAAACTTTGAAGTTCTTAAAAGTCCTTCTCAAATAATTTCCTTAATGAACAATGCCCAATGTAATATCTTGCATTTTGCATTCAATCTTTTTATAATATTAGACTTTCTTAAATCTTTCTCCGAAATACGAGAGAAAGGCTGAAGAGAAAAATTTTTATCTAAATAAGCTCCTTGTTTCATATGTCAATCCTTAATCTATTTTTTAGAAAAGGTTTTGGTAAAGTAAAACCCTTTGTAACAATCGCATCAATCACTATTATCTAGAATACATTATGCTATTGGTTATTATTTTAAGAATCATTTTCCCTTTTCAATAAGCAAAGATTAAACATCTTAAACATAAATTTTTAGTCCTCGTTCATCGCTCGCAGCAACACCAAAATTCAATATGCGAGCATTGTTGGGCAGTTATTGTTAAGCGTATTATTGTTTCAGAGGTTTAATCAAAAAGAGAACTTCTCTAATTATTTTACTCTCTAAAACATTACGACGCATATTTCGCATGTAATAATACATACACATTACGATTAACAGAGTGCGATTAATGAATAACGACGTCTTTGCATATCTTTTTTCTTCAGCGTATTGTCGCCTAAGAATATGTGCAATCTACTTATAAAATTCAATATATATACTATATATTCTTTGAGTCTTTGTGTAAATATAGTTATTGCTCATATGCAGTTTATCATCAGGTAAAACCTTTCGCTACCTAATCGCGAACAATACCTAAAGAACATCAGCTGTAATTTTATGAATAATAATGTAATCATATATTCATAATGAAATCAAGATTTTATGAAAGACGATGGCAATGTTATCGACTTTTGAGAAGCTGTAGTCAAGTGCATGCTATGGTTTCACGTAAGGTCGCAGCACCAGTTCTACCGACGTAAAAGGGACATACAAGGGATGAGGGTGGAAGAACGGTATTGACAAACCTATAAGATATTTAAAACTACTCTATGTTACGCAAACGCGTTCCACAATCTTCCATCAAAACTTTCTCAAGTTTTGTTAAAAATTATATAAAAATAATATAATATAAATAAAAAATATATAAAAAATATATATAAAACAAAATATATAAACGTATTAAAAAGAACACTCTGATGATTTAAACTGCAATTCTAATGAGTCTAATTTTTATAATTGCAACATTTCAGAAAATTCTTCCTGCATAAAAAAATAGCGAACATT